TTATAAGGAAAGAGAACAGAATTGGAAAGCTATGCCCTACCATCTACTGCAAAATCTCCTACCTCATTAATCATTGTGCCCAAATATATATATATATATATATATATATATATATATATATATGATTAAATTGTGGATTTTGTATAATTCCATAATCCCAAAAAGAATTCCAGTGCCTTGTAGGTAGGGTTGCCAAATCTCAGGGTCTGGCCCTGAAGCTCCAGTCATCTACAGGTGGAGGACAAGGATAAAAATTTGACAGTTTTGTTGGGCTCCAAAATGTGCAAACCTTTAGCTCAGTCAAACACCAGCCTTCTTCAGTTTGCAAGGATTTATTGAACTACTGCTGCTACTTGCAAATACTCTCCAAGAGCTTTATGTATTTACTTTCAGTTACCTTCCTCCTTCCCTCCCAGTTGTTGTGATCTCATTATACATTCTGCTCTGCATCCACCTTCTGGCTAGAAGCAAGGAGACTACATTAAATGTTCCTTATCCCGTCTCCTCAAGTAGGTGAGCAACTATGCTTTGTACTTCATAAAATCAGGTCCAATCCCCTGCTTCGTGCAGGATCTCCAGCTAAAGCATCAGTAGCAGGTAGCTGTCCAGCCTCTGTTTAAAGACATCTGGAGGAGACCCCACCACTTCTCTAGGCAATTGGTTCTATTGCTGAAACACTCGTGATGTCAAGAAGTTCCTTTTAATTTTCAATCAAAAGCTACCCTCCTGTAACCTAAAACCATTAGACCTGGTGCTATCCTCTGGTGCAGCAGAGAACTAGCTTGCTCCCTTCTCTCAGTGATAGCCCTTGAGGTATTTAAAGAGTGCAAAGACTCAGTCTTCTCTTCACCAAGTTGAACATGCCCAGCCCCTTCAACCTCTTCTCATGTTTTGTTTTCCATACCTCTTGTCATCATCTTTGCCCTTCTCTGAACTCCCTGCAACTTATCTACATCCTTAAAATAAAGCACTGCCATAAGGTAGTGCAACCATCACTTCATTGTATGAGTGTAGATTCACACTATGCCAGTCTAATGTAGGATCTTGGGTAATTCTGAGGGAGTGAAATGCCCCATCTTAATGCAAGTGGGTTAATTGTAGATAATGATGGTTCAAATCTATACTGAAGAGGTTCCAGTAAGGTAGGAACTGATAGCATCTTGGGCTTTTGTTGTTCTTGTTGTTCATTGCCTTCAAGTTGACCCAACTCATGGAGACCCTGTGGATGAGACATCTCCAAGCCCCCCTATCCTCCACTGCTCTGCTTAGGTCCTGTAAATTCAGGCCCATGACCACCCTTATTGAGTCTATCTGGCATGCAGTCTTCCTCTCTTCTATTGCAATCTATTTTTCCTAGCATTATTGTCTTTTCTAATGAGTTATGCCTTTTCATAACATGCCCAAAGTATGACAGCTTCATAAGTTTTGTGAGTTTTTCAGGCTGTGAGGCCACGTTCTAGAAGAATGTATGAATGGCATCTTCATTTTTCCGAAGGTGCCAGCCACAGAGGCAGGCGAAACATCAGGAATACATTCTAGAACATGGCCTCACAGCCTTAAACCCCCACAAAAACCTATGGATGCTGGCCGTGAATGCCTTTGACTTCACATATGACAGTCTCAGTTTGATCATCTTGGCTTCCATGGAAATTTCAGGTTTGATCTCTTCTACGACCCATTTGTTTGTCTTTTTGGCTGTCTACGGTATCCTCTGCACTCTTCTCCAGCACCACATCTCAAATGAGATTTTCTTATCGACTTTCTTCACCATCCATCTCTCATATCTGTACCTGGTGATGGGGAATACAATGGCTTGGACAACTCTGACTTCAGTGCTTAGTTGTATATCTTTACACTTTAGGCTTACATTAGGCTTACCTGTTCAAAAATAGTTAGTTCTGGGGAGATAATATTAAATTGGATAGTCCAAATGCTAGGCCAAATAATACACTATACAGGAGCTTTACTGCTATCATCTGTATCTGAAAATGGAAATGAAAGATTGCCAGATAAAGACAGCATAGCACTCTGGTAAAGTGCTGCAAGATTAGGAACAACAAAATGGTGGAAAAAACTGAAAGGGTTTTCTATACCAAGGTGGCTAGACAGAATGCAGTCCATAGCATTATCAGAAAAACTAATATATTAGATTAGGATTCAAAGACATAGCTGTGTTAATCTGGGTTAGTATACAAAGGGATCTTGTAGCACCTTTGGGACTAATGGAGAGAAACGCAATGGTATATTTAAGTATACAAAAGCTGATGCTACCTACTAATTTCTTTCAGTTGGTCTCAAAGGTCCTACAAGACCCCTTTGTATTAGGTAAGGAAAAAGATCAAAGAAATAAGACACTTTTGAAAATATATGGAGGCCCTTCATAGCTTATGTTTTAACCCTCATTTTCTGGATTTAAACCCCAATTTTCTGAAAAAGTGTATTTTGAATTGCATGGATACTTTGAAAGGTAGACTATATATGTGATGTCTGACCTCATGGTTGTTTAATGAAAGGTTAAGGAATGGAAGGTACAAGGGAGCTGACTGTCATATTTTTAGAGAATAGAATTTTAAAAATTGTACTGAATATAACATCTGAGACCTTTCTGCATAGGCCAAAAAGCCGTTCCCACCCATCCCCTCTCTGGCATTGTCCTGTATGGATGACATATATTCCAAACCTCGGTTCTGGTGTGAGCAGACCAAATGACATCTGGTCCATTCCACACAAAATGGGGCTATACTAGCCTTAAAACTGAGTCAAATAACATACCTGTTCTTCTGGACCTTCCAAGAAGATCCAGAGTCCTCTGTTCCTGCACCATCGAGGCTGTCTGCACAGGCATTCCTCTGGGCTGCTTGGTGCTGCTGCTATAGATCACTCATTCTGTAGTCAGAACAAAGCATCCAGCTATGCGATCATCACTGAGCACCTCATTCTGACCTCAGAAGCGAGTGACCTGTGGTGGGCGCATGGGCAGCCCAGTGGGATGCTCATGCAGATAACTGCAGTGGCATAGAAATTGAAGCCAAGGTAACCAGGGCAGAACAGGACATCTGTGGGACCAGAATATTTTGGGCTTCCCCCAGAGTCTCCTTGCCAGCACAGACAAGGCCTATGTTGCACTCTCGTTTGGCACTTGCTTAAAAAAGTTTGGGGAGCAAACTGAGGGATGCCACACTTCAAGAAGAGTACTGACAAGAGGAAATGTGTCCTGATCGAGATGGTCAAATATCTGAAAAGCAAACCCTATGAGGAGCGGCTTGGGGTATGTTTAATTTGGTAAAGACAAGACTGAGAATTGATATGATAGCCATCTTTAAAGTACTGAAGTGTTGTCACATAGAATATGGAGTGAGCTTGTTTTCTGTAGCTCTAGAGAACAGAATATAAACCAACAGATTCAAAGTACAAGAAAAGACCTTCCACCTAAGCCTTAAGAAGACCTTTCCAAAAGTAAGGAATGTTTGACAGTAGAATGGTCTGCCTTGGAGGATGGTGGACTCTTCTTCTTTGAAAGTCTTTAAACAGAGATTGAACGACCATGTCTCAGAGTGCTTTAGCAATTGATTCCTGCATGGCAGGGTGTTGCACTATATGGCCCTTGCAGTCCCTTATGAATTTGTGGTTCTATAATTCTATTAAACTGAAACCAACATGGTATACCTCCAACTGTCCTGGTTTGACAGGGACAGTCTTGATTAGTCTTCTCTCACCCATTTGTTACAGCTGCTTTCAAAATGACCTAGTTTCAGTCGCTTCCTCCCACTTCCCCCCTTTGCCCTCAGCTTACTTTAATTGATACAGTATGCAAAGAGATCTTGTAGCACCTTTGAGGCTAACTGAAAGAAAGAAGTTGGCAGCATGAACTTTCGTAGACCTTGATCTACTGCCTCAGATGAGACAATAGACTTAAGTCTATGCAAGCTCATGCTGACAACTTCTTTCTTTCAATTAGTCTCAAAGGTGCTACAAGATCTCTTTGTATACTGATTTTACAGACTAACATGGCTATATCTTTGAATGTGATTGCTACAAACTGGGTTCAAAGTGCAAAGGTAATTGGCACTGAGTTAACTCAGCAAGGGAAAGGGAAGAAGAGAAAAAACCTTGCCCTTCCCATGAGGCTCTGGCCAAAGCAAACTGCCTCTCCTAGCTTGTGCATTCTTCTTCATTAATAGCTTTTGCCCTCTTGAACATACCTTGATGTTGCTTGGTCATATGTGTCCCCGTTTTCATTTATGAAATGTTGGAAGGTATGACATGGTCATTTTCTTGCAGTCATTTCTGCTAGCATAGAATTCCAGGGAGCTCTTTCAAAAAGGAAATGAAAAGAAATGAAATGAAAGAAAATATGGCAAGACAGAGATACCCAAATATATGATTTCTGGAAGAACAGCTGTGTTAGACGGTTAGGTTTTTGTGTCTCCTCCACACAATAAGAGGGGTGGGATCTTTTGGAGAGAAAACGCTCTGACAAAGGATCACAGAATTACTCAGATATTTGCTGTAAGTTGAGCAAAGAATATATTCAAAAGACATTTGAAGGTAGGCTGGCGTATGGCATCATGCGTAGGAGGTCAGTTGTTTTATTTGCCTCCTGCTGGAGCTCTTTGAGGCTGTGTCTGCTTTGAGAGATGCTCATCTATACTTAGACTTGAAAAAGGCATTTGGTTTTGTTACAATTCAAAGATGGGGATGATTCACACAGAGTTCTGGATGGATTAGGATGTAGGGAGCATCAGCAAAGGGTTGGGAGCTGGAGTACAGGAGGAAAAATCACATCCAGACCCTGTGAATTCTAACACTTTTGAGAGATGGACATAAGGTTCAAGGGAGAAGGAGAGAAAAACTTAATATTACCTTACAAAGATTTGCTTCATTTTTTTCATGGTTTAGTGTAGAAAAGAAATGAACACCTTACATACACACACATAGAGAGAGCACACCCAACTCTAATGTCAGAAACAGCAAAAGAGAGGAGTAAAAAGAACTAGAAAGCCAGCATGGCATAGTGATTTGAGTATTGGATTGTGATTCTGAAGATCAGGGTTCGATCCCCTTTTTGGCCATGAAACCTCGGTCCAGGGTGACCTTGGCCAAGTCACAAGCTCTCAGTCTCAGAGGATGGGAAAGGCAAACCCCTCTCTGAACAAATCTTGCAAAAAAAAAAAATCCAAAACATGCTAGGTTGTCTCCTTGCCAGCACAGACAAGGCCTATCTCTGTTTGAAGTTAGTTATACTGTTTAGATATTGTGGGTAACATGGTTGGGAAGGGAGTTTGGCATACCAAGGAGCACATTTTGATAGGCCAACAGAGGTACAATCTAATTGAAAGTCCTGCTTCAAAATGTGGGACTTCATATATTTTGTAGCTCTATCATAGTTTAAAGAGCACAGCAAGTCCCTTGAGAGCCCATACGAATAAATAAGTTGCAAAATTTCTTGATTCCAAGATAAAAGTGTCTTGTTTTCAAATTTCAGCATTTCTTTGAAAGCAAACAATACAAGGACTGTTCCTATTCCTTTAGTAAGTTTCAGCGAGTATTTAATAGCTTGTACCTGGGTTATAGCCTTTACAGTACGAAGCCCACTTTCCAACAGAGGTCCCAGTTCCTTTGGGCAGACCTAAAAAATTTCATAGATAATTATTTTGGACTGTTTCCAAATTTGATTTTATCTTAGGCCCCCAAATTTCAGCCCCATAACATATCTGAGCTATAACTTTAGCCTCATAAATTTTGATAGCCAGTGGAAACTGTTTACCACCTCTGCTCTAATAGAATCTTGGCAGTATTAATAGTAATCGCTTTTGTATTTTCAAAATGATTTTTCCAAGATCCAGTAGAAGACAAATTTAGTCCTAAATATTTGAAGGACTTCACTTGTTCTATAGGTTGCCCATCAATTCACCATGTATGTTTTTTGTACCTACTGGCAAAACCCAGTATTTTTGTCTTTTTATAATTAATATTCAATTTGTCTTGTGTTGCTAGTTGACTGAAAGTTTTTTATAATCTCCTCAAACCTTGCTGTGATTGTGATAATAAAATAGTATCATCTGCATACATGAGAACTGATATTTCCCTAGGTCCAATTTTGGGGGTACATGGTTGTCATTATCTCTTAAATCAGTTATTAATGAATTAACATAAACATTAAACAATGCTGGTGCTAACAGGCAAACTTGATGGACACCTCGAGTGGTTGGTATTGGGTTTGATAGCGAGCCAGCAGGATCCAATCTGACTTGAATTTTAGTATCTGAGTGGAGTGCTTGTATCAGCATCAGCAATCTTTTATCTATGGATGTTTTACTTAGTTTATCCCAGAGGTGTTCTCTTCTGATAGAGTCAAAGGGTGCTGTAAAATCGATAAATGCAACATATAAGCACTTTTGTTTTAATCTGACATATTTGTGTATCAAGTGGCATAATACAAAACAGTGATCTATTGTTGAGCAATTGTATTGAAAACCCGCCTGTTCTTCTGCTATTATCTCATTAGATTCAAGTCAACCATTAAGGGTTTTTTTAAATAGATATTTGGTATATATTTTGGAAGAAATGTCCAACAGACTGATGGGACTAAAATTGGCTGGGTCATTTGGGTCACCTTTTTTGAATATAGCTGTCCCAAGTGGTATTTGGACATATTCAGTGGCATCATTAGGGCTGGTGTCACCCGATAAAGTAGCTCATGGTATCACTTGGTCCCAACTGAACTGCTCCCATACCACACCATACATAATCCTTGGTAACATTTTTGTATTAATGTGTTACTCATAAATTGCAATTCCTGTATATCACTGAATGTAAAGGCAGTAACTGTGGCATAAACAACTAGCAAAATGAAAAGTATACCTTTAAATCACAATATCATAAGCACAGCCTAAAGGTATTTGTATGTACATAGTTTCATGTGGTTAAGGTGAAAATTTGGTAAGATGTGATGTTTTTAAAGAAAATTTGGTAAGATGTGATGTTTTTAAAGAGCCCAAAAAATTACTTTCCTTCCCTACTAACTCCTTTCCTGGGTCTTGGAATGTTAGCATTTAGAGCTGTGAGTTTAGCATTATCACATTTTTTTCTTTCTCCATTTGATTTTTAACACCTTTGGTCTGATGAAGAAGTCTGCAGAGCTACAAAAGCTTCCATCATGCATTTCGTGTATTTTGGTTGGCCCGATAAAGGTATCACTGTTTTGTGGATTTTTGATGTTATTGCACTTTGTGGTATGGCCAGTACAGCTAGCCCTGGATACGTTTACTGTTTGACTGTTCATTTTTAAAGTATCTTTCCATAAATAAAAAAGGACAGGAATCTAGCACCTATTTAGCAACTAACTGATATATGTTAGCATGACTTTTCATGGAGTTCAAAACACTTCCTCCAATGTGCCAGCGGGGTACAATATGCAAGCCACAAGTATTTAAATGCAGTTGCATATTTGCGGGGGTGGGAGCCACAGGTAGAGTTGCACATGCTTTCTCCAAGCGCTCTCCCCTGGCCCTCCTTGTCTGTGTCACTCACAAATTTCTCCTTCTGCCAGAGTCTCATTAGCAGCCAGAGGTCTCACTTGCTGACATCAGCACTCATTCCAACAGTTTTAAGGGATATATTTTGAGGGTGTGAAGAACAAGTCAGTAAATTTCAGGAAACTCTGCTCTGGGTTTTTATGAGGCGGAATGAAGCTGATAAGCAGCAGTTGTGTGTCAAGACTCTCTTAGGGTTGCTCCGTCAGTGTGCTTCCAACATTTCAAACGGCTGCCTGCCTCCAAATGGCTGCCCAGGGCCTCCTTTCCATGGCATGTCTAGGCTCTTGTCTATACGTCCTACTAAGGCAAGCCGTAATGTTTCTCAGGAGCCCTGAAGCAGATGGAGAAAGATGCAGTTCAACAGGTGGTAAGTGCTAATAGACAAGTCGCCTCGAGGAAGTCTTCTCTCCAAGGTGCATCAGAGGTAGGTCAAGGCAAGGCCAGGCAGGGGAAGTTGTATATAAGCTTCTTGAACCTATCAGGGAGGAGCTAACACAGCCAACTAGACTGAGAAATGGGACTTTATCCCCTCCCCTCTCTTGCTCTGGTGGATTTGACGGATGAACGTTGTGTGTCATGCTGTTATTGTTGGCTCCTTGTGGACTCCATCAGCAATTTTTAAAGGGTCAAAGGTAAGTGGTATGTATGCATGCCCTCCTGCTCTCTCTGTTTTCGAAGAGCTACCCCCCATTGTTGCTGTTGGTTTTGCAAATCCTGCTGCTCCTAATTGTATATGGAACACAGGAACCTGTCTTACATTGAGGGCTTCTTCACGTTGGCCAAAAACTTTTAAGATTTGGCAGAAATAAGAGCTGTAGTTTTCAGGGCTTTTCCTGATCTCCATATAATGTTCTTCCTGTCCTGATATTTTTCTTGTGGATTTCCAGGACAAGGAGATTAATTTATAACAGGCTGTGAACAAACTACTACTTTCCAACCAGCCAAATTTCCAGTATGAGCAGCAACTTTTTAAACCCAGTGCAGGAAGGCAGGGTCATATTATGTCCTGGGAGTATTTGATACAGGCCAGGACAAATGTCACACATCTGTATCCATTGCCTCAGTTCCTCCCAATGTATTTTTGGCAGTCCTCAATGACAATAGGAATGCAAGTGTAACCTTTACCATGGAGGTTTACCCAGTGACTTCTTTATTATATTTTTGCCTACCAAGTTGAACATTCTCTTCTTGGTTGAAACATGCCAATCGAGAGCAGCACTAAACTCTGCTATGGCCTGCAACAAACCTGGGACAAATACCTGCAAAAATGGATGCAGGAGTGGAGGCAATAATTCCAAATTATGTCATCCAGAAAAAGGATCCCCAACATTTCCCAGAGCTATTGAAGAGCTCAATTGGGCCTATAGCCAAAGAATCAGAGTTGGAAGAGACCACAAGGGCCATCCAGTCCAACCATTTACCATACAGGAATACACAGTCAAAGCTCTCCTGACAGACAACCATCCAGCCTCTGTTTAAAAACCTCCAAAGAAGGAGAGAGAAGGAAAGACACTCCATCACAGTTCAAGGCAGCATGTTCCACTGTTAAACAGTTCTTACTGTCAGGAAGTTCTTCCTAATGAGGTGGAGTCCCTTTTCCTGTAATTTGAATCCATTTCTCCATGTCCTAGGCTCTGGTACAGCAGAAAACAAACTTGCTCCATCCTCAGTATGACATCCCTTCAAATTTGTAAACATGGCCATCATATCATCTCTTAACCGCCTCTTCCCCAGGCTCAACATACCTGGCTCCCTAAGCTACTGCTCATAGGGCACGGTTTCTAGACCTTTTACCATTTTGGTCACTCTCCTCTGGACACACTCCAGTTTGTCCACATCCTTCTTGAATTGTGCTGCCCAGAAGTGGACACAGTATTCCAGGTGAGATCTGAGCAATAGAGCAGAATAGAGTAGTAATATTATGTCCCTCGGGACACTATACTCCTATTGATGCAGTCTAGAATTGCATTGGCTTTTTCAGCAGCTGCATCACACTACTGACTCATGTTCAGCTTGTGGTCTATTAAAATTCCTAGATCCTTTTCACATTTCCTGTTGTCAGATCAAGTGTTATCCATCCTATATCTGTGTATTTTATTTTTTTTCTGCCCAAATTAGTACCTTACATTTCTCCTTGTTGAAATTCATTTAATTTAATCCATCCAACTCAGTGGTTCTCCAGACTTTTGGACCAAGGCCTTTTCAAAGCTTCCTGGAAATGCTGAAAAATTAAAGCAAGGCATTTTGCAGGCAAAGTACTAGATTGTCTGACACAAAGGAGGCTGTCTTCCTTCCTTTTCCAGTTCCAGTGATTGCCTGAAAGAAAGGGTTATTCTCTTTTATGTCACACTTACAATAAAGGAGCCCTGCTGATCAGACCAAAGGCCTTTCTAGTCCTGCATTCTCCTCATGCAATGATCAACAGCTGCCTCTAGATAGCTCATAGACAAAACATGACATATCCTCCAACATTTCACAGATGAAAAACAAGAAACATGTGGCCATATAACCTCAGGTTGTGATAAAATTGCAA